GTGTGTGTGTGTGTGAGAGAGAGAGAGAGAGAGAGAGAGAGAGAGAGAGAGAGAGAGAGAATTCCTATGGAAATACAAAGAATCAAGAATAGTCAGGGGAATTGTTAAAAACAAAGTTCACCTAATTACTGGTGTGTTCTAAGACCACATGGAAAAGATGCAAGATGGACAAACAGATCAGTGGAGCCCAAGGCCCAGAGCAGACTCACACACACTCACACTTTTGACTTTGGTGGAAGAGTGTCACTGGAACTTAATAGGAAAAAGATGGTATCTTCTACAAACAAACATGGGTTAACTAATTACCCATAGGAGAAAAAAATCATTGGCTCCTCCCTACATCACACATAAAGATAAATTCCATCTGGATCATACATCTCAAAATGAAAAAATAAATTGTTTGGAGGATAAAGACATTTGCTGCCAATCCTGATGACCTGAATTTGATCCCCAGGATCCATATGGTGGAAGGAGAGAACAGACTCCCCAAAGTCATCCTCTGACCTCCACATATGTGCCAATACATAAATACCCCACAGACACACTCACATGGGCATGCACACACAAAATAAATAAAAATGTAATGCAAGTAGCACAATGGAGTGCCCCGCCCGCGCAGCTGGAGCACAAAATGTGGTGAGGGACGCCGAGGTTAAACAGCACTCTAGACACACCGTGGTTTCAGTTCCTCAGGGAAGCAGCTCTCTTTATTCCTACCAACATGGGCTTATATACCCCTCCGACAGCAGGAGTCAAGGAATGGTTACTCTGTATCCGTAGGCAAGCTGGACACTGTTTTCCAAACAGGAAAAACCACAGGGGAACTGATCCCCAGCACTTCTCCGGACCCCAACTGCACATTTCACACAAACAACTTAACTGGGACAGGACAAAAAGGGCATTTAAAATTAAGGCAGCAAACTTACTGCTGCCAACAACGGAGTATCTCTGTATCCTTTAGAAGGATAACATTTCTAAAATGAATGTAATAATAACCAGTTATGGGCAGGAGAGTTTACTTGGCTATTACAAGTACTTCAGTTCTCAGCA